AAAAGGAAACAAAAATATGTAAGTTATAAAATATATGAGTATATAATATAAACAAAAATATCCTTTCTAACACTTGCTCTTTATTTCACCAGCTCTCTTTTCCTTGTGTAAGGTGCCTACAACTGTTGTTGTATTGTCTCCCCTGTTCTACTCCACCTCATGGCTTCCCCTCATGTTAGAAATAAAAACAGTGGGTCAAGAATTATAGAATTAATTTTGTTAACATAGGGACAAAATCAGAGTTGTTTGTGACATTTGAGAGACCCTAAGCCCAAGAAATTTGAGTCACAGGAATACATGACTCTTGACTGCCTATGGTAACCCCCTAGTACTGAAATCTTTAGCCCAACCTTCATTTGGTCATGAAAAGTGTCAAGAGAATGGAAAACTAAAATTATTTTATCTGTGCCTTACATTTAAGAAACATATTAACTCCCAACCCCAATTTTCTGGATTGAAATACTTTGGGATGTATTACTGCAATATTTCAAGTTGGTAACACCAATTATAAACAAAAACATCTTTAGGTAAAAGGGCACAAATTCTAATAAACTTACAAAAGAGGAGATAAAAATGTCTCTTGGTATTTATAATGTTCATCGAGTACTGCCAATGTTACAGGAATCAATAAGCTAGCTAGTTTTTGTAGCCAAATGTGGTATCAACACGGCCCTATATCACTAAAGCGCGGGGGGCAGTGCAGTAAGCTCGCTAGCGCATTTTGTATTACAGCCTTTGGTGTAAATTCATGAGCCAGAAACAGCATGCCATATTATCTCTACTTTTCTAAATTTTAGAATTGCTGAATTGAAATGAAACTACTGAGTTAAGATACTGCTCATAGATATCCTATCCCATCATCTGGAATCACAGCCATCTGTGAAAATAATACCCAGATTTATTGCTCCATTTTTTTTTTTTTTTTTAAGATTTGATTTATTTATTTGACAGAGAGAGACAACACAGGCAGGGGGAGTGGGAGAGGGAGAAGAAGCAGGCTCCCTGCTGAGCCGGGAGCCCTATGTGGGGCTCGATCCCAGGACCCTGGGATCATGACCTGAGCC